GCTGAAAACTACCAATATTAATGACATTAACCAGACCCTACTCATAGAGGAATTATTTAAACTCCTTTTAGTGACTTTTGGATGTTCGCTAAAGTGACAGGAAGGAGGTGATTATCTTTGAGTTAGGGGACCAGTTTCCTAATAATCTGAACCTGGAGAACATGATTTGGAAAGGAGAATTTAATGGTAAGTCTTTTCAGGCTACCATATGAACTTTTAAACAATTTTTTCTAAATGTTGTTCTTCCCTTCCTGCCCCTCCCTGATTCCTTATTCAATAATCTCAGCATCACTTTACTGCTGTGGTTATGTTGCTCGAGGTACTGAGATATTTCCATCCCTTTTTTTGAGTACAAAGAAAACAGATCAGGTAAACTATCCTTCTGAGAATGTTTGTCAGGTTTTATGTGCATCACAAAACAGCTAGTGCTTAAAATTAATTACAAATGGTTGCCTAGGTTACAGCATCTTGTGCTTGGAAGTTTCACATTTAAAAAAAAAAAATCTTAAAAGGTTCCACACCCATTTCAATCATTTGAGGGGGGGGGGAGTCAAATGGGGAAGTGAGGCTCAATGGGAAAAGCAAGTATTCTCCTTTTCATGAGTGCACTTCATGTTCCATGCTGAGTTTTCTTTTTAATTTGAACTTTAAACATCTACCTTAAAAGGGGTATTCATCAAAGCCATGCTGTTCAAATCATAGATCATTTGGCCACTGCTAAGTTGATATTGATTTCATACATTCCATTAAAAGCACAGAGTAACACAACTTGCCTGACAGGGGAGATGAACTGCACAGATGTTATTTGTGAGCACATGAGTGTGACAGCTAATCATCACTGATGTACTTCTACCCACATGGCATGATTTGTGCATCAAGCTATAGTCAGCACATCTTTTGTTGCATTAATCAATTATCTAGACCCAAACAAGAATGATTTAGATTTCCAAGAACGGGAGGCTTGGCACTGATTTTCATTAGGATCTGAAAACTGGAGATTAACTCTTCTTTCTTACTTGAACATGCAAAATAGTTCTGGCATTTTACGAGGATACAACACAGAAATGAGAGTGTATATGGAGCTGAAGAAGCAAACAATAGATCCATAAGAATTTCAAGCTTTCTACATTTCTATATAAATCAATTCAATTTTCTTAGGCCGACACTTTGGTGTCTTCATTCAAAAGGTTGCTCCATTCTCTTTCTATATCTTTAAACATTCTCATAAAATTAGTTACTGTGTGGATATAAATATGTTTGGGTATTGTGTTTTCTTTTGAGCTAAGAATAACATTCTGGGAATCTAGTCTTTCCAATCTGTAAAATGTGAATCAGAAGAATTTTGCTTTGAAATGCTTTCAAAGTCATCAATGGTTTTTTTTTTTTAGGCATAGAGATCAGAAAAAGTGGAGTCATTCGTGATAGTGTTTAGATTTGGGTATCCTTTGTAGCCATCTATAATGATTATGTGAGGATGAGTTTGGAGAGAGAGGGCAATGAAAGGGAACAGTCAGATAAAAGGCAACTTAGCCCACAGCAGAAGTATGTGTGATAAAAAGGGCTAGTAAGGGATCCTCCCTAACTGAGCTGTAAAGGGGCCCCAAGTTCCTTCACCCTTATAAAATTCTGTTAATGTAATCTAACAACAGAGCAGAATTAGCTCGACTGGGCATGTTTCTATCTCATAAGACTGATACGAACCCATCTCCACATATTATTACACATGTATGGGGAGGAGCACACCAGCTTCTACAGTAATGTATAATTTGGAGCTTAAAATACAGCTTTTTTTTACTCAATTACCTAGGTCAGAATAGTCTCTGATGATAACAAAGAACTGGAAACCACCCCTCTCAGTGCTAATATTTCCTTCCTTCCTTCCTTCCTTCCTTCCCTCCCTCCCTTCCCAAGTTTTTATTTAGCTTGTCAATCTGCTTAGTATTCAGAGTTCTTGTGATGCAGAATTTAATCAAGGGAGAATGATCATACATAAGTGATCCTGGGGTCACCTCAAAAAAGACACACTATCTCATGGGAATTACATCAATTCACTTGTGTGGACCTGTTCCTTAAAATGAAGTTGCTTTTCACTTTTTCTCTCTCTGAAGAAAACTAGCTCCTTTTATTCCTTCTAGCTGAAGAAACAAGAAGAGGAGATAAACTATTTGGTAACAGGCCACTTACTTTCTTACCTTCTCTCCTTTTTTTTTCTTCTGAAAAACACATTATCATTCAAAGAACAAGAACAGCTTTGTCTGCATTTTAAGCAGCTGCCTTCAGGTACCTTGTGCAATTTATGGATTGCCTTAACTTTAGAAACACACATGACAACCACAGAATCCCATTACTCTTACAAAGTTAACTAGCCAGACTTTAAATGTCATTTCATAATCTGAAATGGAATAAAAATAATTTTTGCTGTGAGTATTTACACAAGTGAGTCTTCAATGGGAATTCTAAAAGCAATTATTTGCCGTGTATTTATATTCAACCCCAAACCATTAGTGCCCACTGCTTTCTTTTCTCTGTAAAAAAAAAAAAGCAAGCTTAAATGAGCCCTCTTGGGGGGGAGTAAGTGATGTATGTGTTGGGGTGTGTGTATAGCACATTATCTCCCTGAGGGGAAATACAATAAGAAGTCATTTAGCCCATACATTTTCTTTCCTTGGGTTCTGTTTACAATGTCATTCTTGTATTTGTGAGAAGCAGATAGTTTTCTCTTCAGGACAATGTGGGGTGAGTAGAAATTCAGGCTTCTGAAAGAGACAATTCAGCTGTTAAAATTCTGTCTCCTTTAGAAAACTTCAGTTAAAAAAAGTTTAACTCTGCTGTAGGCTTTACCTTTTAACCATGTTAACAAGATGGATATCACCTTAAATGGGTTGGGTAAATAGTGTTGCAGAAGATTATGAATTGTGTGCCTGTTTTGCAAGGGGAGAGGGAAATTATTACTGTTGAAATATACTTATCAGTATTCAACTGGGAGGGGGGGCAGGAACGACAGTTTATGTATATGCTTGTTTTGTTTTATGCATAGTTTTTTTTTCTTCTCTTTGTGTAGTCTTGTCTAGTTTTGTTTTGTTTTTGTGTTTTCTTTTCTCCCTCCACCCCTTTTGGAGTTTGTATTTTTATTGTTTTGAGTAAAAATAAAAATTTGATTTAAAAAAAGTGCTTATATTCACGAGATAGGCCTTACTCTTCTACAAACGCTCAATAACAATAAAAAAAAATAAAGTTAAAAAAGGTAAAAGAAAGATCCATTCATCGGGACATCAGTATGTTTGATGACAAAACTAAGATTGACAGTGTAATATGGCTAAGCAGATCTAGCAATTGGTGGACATAGACAACAGGAAGCTTGGTAGTAAACCAGTCAAATATAGGTAGGCCTAGCCTTACAACAGTTCACTTAATGACTGTTTGAAGTTACAATGGCCCTGGAAAAGGTGTCTTATGACTGTTTTTCACACTTACGTCCGCTGCAGCATCCCCATGGTCACAGGATCAAAATTCAAATGCTTCAAATAGTTTCAGTTTTGTAATTTAAAACCCACAATTTTTCTTACCTTAAAAAAAAACACATATCAATTGTGCATGCCTGATGGGAAATTGCTGAACTACAGTCTGACACATTGAGAGGTAATAATAAATCTGATGAGGCATCTGTGTGTGGTATTGTCGCTCCTATAAAGATATACCAGAATAAGAAATCTGGAAACAATTGCTATAGGCATGATAATCCTCAACCATCCCTTGTGATGAATTGGGGTTTTTAAGAACATGAATAGAGACCAGTGTGATATCAGAGGGAGCTGTGAATGCTTTACTACTGTGTTTCTCAAACTTGGCAATTTTAAGATACCTGGGCCAACTTCTATGCTGGCCGGGAAATTCTGGGGGTTGAAGTTCACATAGCTTAAAGATACTGAGGTTGAGAAACATTGCTCTAACAGTCTGGGATAGAGTGAAAAGTGTTTCATTACCTCAAAGCTCTCTCACAACTATGGGCAAATACTCGAAATTGTGAACCTTTCAATCTCTGAGTTGGCCCATCAATTCTCATACACAACTAGGCATACATGACTAGACAAAACAATCTCATTAAAAAGCTGTTGTCTCACATCATTCCAGACGGCTAGTTCCCATTTTGCCTAAATACAAACTTTGGCACAAAGCAACATTGTACTCTAAATGCCTCTTTCATTGAAATTCAATAGAAGTGAGAGGTATGCCATCTTTTTAAGCCATTAGATTCCAAAATATGTGGAGTGTGGCAAATTAACCTACATCGGCACGTACTATTGATCTTGTACAATATCACATGGTATATTAAGAACAATGGAACAGTGAAACAGCTTGCCTTCAAAAATTGTGAGTGCTTCATCACTGGAGGTTTTTAAGAAGAGACTGGACAGCCACTTGTCTCAAATTGTATAGGGTAGTGGTGGCCAACCTTTTTCAGCTCCCGTGCCGATAATTGTGCATGCACTTGCGTGCGTGTTCTCTGGGTGCCAGCACCCAGAAGGCAATGCATGCTGGGCCCCACCCCACCCCCTGCGCATGCGCACATGACCCCCCTTGCTGTGCATGTGTGATTTTCCCCTCGCACACTGCATACCTGCGCATGTGCACACATCTCCTGTACACATCCCTCCACCCCCTAGGCATATGTGCCAGATACCTGACAATCAGCTGTCAGCGGGGCTCTTCCGGGCGACCTCTTGCATGCCAGGGGCATAGGTTCGCCAACATGGGTATAGGGTCTCCTGCTTGAACAGGGGGTTGGACTAGAACACCTCCAAGGTCCCTTCCTGCTCTATTCTGATTCTAATTTGATGTAACAATGTTTTATCACTGGTAATAGATCTTTGAAGTCCAAAATATATCAAAAGAATAGTCCTTGAGTTTTGATCATTCATTTAGCGACTCTTTCAAAGTTTTGATGGTGCTGAAAAAAGTGACTTGCAAACCACTCCTCACAATTATGATAATTACAGCATTCCCCATGGTCACCTAATCAGAATTCAGGCACTAGGCAATGTGCATATATTTATGATGGTTGCAGCATCCTGGGGTCATGTGGTCAGCATTTATTATCTTCCCAAACGGTTTCTGACAAGCAAACTCAGTGGGGTAATCTTAACAACCATGTGATTCACTAAATGACCACGGTGATTTGATTAATGACTGTGCCCAAAAAAATTGTAAAATCGGTATGACTCATTTAACAATTGTCTCAATGACGACAGAAGTTCCAGTTCCAACTATGGTCATAAGTCAAGAACTATCTGTATTGCCTTAAACTGAGGAGTATCCCTTGTACTGATATCACTGCAATAATAAAATTATCCTAATAAGTAGACATGCTTATGTTTTATCCTGAATTAAAAAAATGGATACCTTAAATCTAAATAATCAAATCTGAAAGTAAATCAGACTGTTAGGGTAATGACTTTTAAACTGTGGTTCATTAAGCACACATATTAAACAATACAGCACATTATCTATTCTGTTTATGATGCCATCCAGTGTTACATACAAGTGTAGAACATAATAGCAGCAGAAGTAGAGATTGCTCATCTGTGTTTTATGACTTTTGCTAATGTAAAGGTACATGTTGCAGATTAAAATGAAGCACTCCAGTTGTAGAGTAAGCCTCAGTACCTGCATACACAGCTGTTTTGGAATGCTGATTTATAAATAAAATGTGTGCTAATATAGAATAGACTCCTAAAAGAACAACGAGGAAGCAACAGATTTCCTGCTTGCAAATTGCTTGCAAATTGCACTCCAATCATGACTGAACACCTGGTGGATCATAATCAGTACTTATAACCAATTACCTTAATATCCCTTTTGTTATAAGATTGGTAAAAATGTTTGGAATTCCTAGAAATTTTTTTTTACAATATATTTTATTGTCTAAATAAAAGAAAACAGATCAGTTCTATAGGTTAAGCAAGGTCAAGATCTACTAACTGGAACATAAATAAATAGTGATAAGTAAAATCAAGATGCCTAACATTTTCACTCATTACATTTTCCCCCCTTTTCTTCTTTTGAAAGGACCTCTTTGCCACATTCCAAGAGTTATTCATAAAAATAATAAAAGAATAGATAGATGATAGATAGATACGATAGATAGATAGATAGATAGATAGATAGATAGATAGATAGATAGATAGATAGATAGATAGATAGAGACAGACAGAGACAGACAGACAGATGATAGACAGGATCTCTCTCTCTCTCTCTGTGTATGTGTGTGTGTAATGCATAAGAGCATCTATTAAAGGTTTTGATGTAAAAGTGTACATGTGTAATTTCTTATATTAATTACTTTGATTAAAAATGCATAATAAATAAAAAAAAATTCTGAAAATGTAGATGTGTTAAAATGTCACAGTGATATGTCACATTTTGCTAGAAAACAGTTTCAATAGCAGCAGGCAGCTTGGAAATTAGGCAGGGGCTGTCCTGATGAGATATCACCAGGAAATCCCAAACTGCAACCTGGATTTGACATTTGGAGAGAGAGAAAAAATCTCAGAGAAGTCAATGGCATGCCACTTGCATATTGTTGCCAAGAAAACAACATGGATGTGTCTGTGAATCAGCAGGAGCTGAACTTGACTCAGAGGAGGAAAAAGAACACACTTCAGAATGAAAAATGAGCCAAGCTAACCAGAGTTTCAAGGTTTTTTCCCCCGGCTTGGAAGTAGGGTAAAAAAGTTACGAGCAATTAGTTGGACTTTCTGCTGGAGGCTATGAAAACTCGACAGCCCCTCTACAGACTGAGCTCACCATAACAGGTTTATCTATGCCTGGGTAGATATCTGAACAGACAAAGGAGGACACAGATAATTTGGAGAAGAGATTAAGACGGTAAAGGAGCACACACTAATGGTTTAATTTTCTTAGCAACTGTGAGTAAAAGTACACCAAAAAAACTGGGGAAAATGTAACCTAGACCTGCAACAGAGGTGGTATTCAGCAGGTTTTGACCAGTTCTGGAGAACCAATAGTGGAAATTTTGAATAGTTTGGAAACCAGTAGTAACCTTCCCCAGGAGTGGGGTCGGAATGGAGATTTTGCAGTATCCTTCCCCTGCCATGCCCACCAAGCTATGCCACACCCACCAAGCCATGCCACACCCACCAAGCCATGCCCACAGAACCGGTAGTAAAAAAAATTGAATCCCACCAACCTGCAAGTAAAGTATATGATCTCTCTCTCTCTCTCTCTCTCTGTGTGTGTGTGTGTTTGTGTGTGTTTCTATATGTATACACATAAACATATACATATACATATGTATGTATTTTCAAAAGCACATGCTGGTGGCAATATAGAATTGATCAATGAATCAGAATAGAGCCAGAAGGGACCTTGGATGTCTTCTAATCCAACCTCCAGCTGAAGCCGGAGACACTCTATTTCAGATAAATGGTTGTTCAATCTCTTCTTAAAAACCTCCAGCACCCACAACTTCTGAAGGCAAGCTATTCCACTGGTTATTTGTACTCTCTGTTTGAACAAAGTTTCTCCTTAATTCCAGGCTGCTTCTCTCCTTGATGAGTTTCCATCCACTGTTTCTTGTTTTGCCTTCTTACTAAGGGTTTATAAAGCAGGACTAATGATGTACTAATGATAACAATGTGCTTTTCAAATTTTACCATGGAAGCCTATGAAGAGTCAAGTGATCCCAGATTTGAAGAAGTAGCTGGATGGAAGCTGATTGTCGGATTCAGGAAATAAATAAAATAATATACATCTAGGCTGCTGAGTTTGTCAATAGATGAAGGAAAGGAAAGAGACAATTTATAAGATCACGGTAGACAGAATGACAACTATTGTGAAAACATGAAGATGGTCCATTTGAGAAAAAAAATAGGATGTGTAAAATGCTGGATAATCTTTAAGCACTAAGATGGCTGGCTGGGAGACATGAGTACAAAAAAAAAAAGGGAATGTCCTCCTTTTCTAGGATCTCATAATCTTACCTGCATTCCTTATTAAAGACACTAAATCTTCAGAGACCTTTAACTGGTCTTTTATGTTTTCCATTGGGAAAAAAATGGTATTTCAAATGGGCAGCTTTTTATAGATGCAATAAGGCAGAGGTTTCAAACTCAAGGCTGGCGGGCCATATCTGGCCTGTGGGGTGCTCAGATCTGGCCTGTGGGGCCACCTTGGAATCAGCAAAAGACTGGACCGCCGTGCCTCTGCTAGCGAAAACGGGCTCCTGATCTCCATTTTTGGCTATGACGGCCTCCTGCAACCCTCTGCCAGCGAAAATGGAGCTCGGGAGGCCGTCACAGCCAAAAACAGACATTGGGAGTCCCGTTTTTACTGGCAGAGAGTTTGGGTTCCCACAGGCGCCAACACAAGTGACGTCAAGCAGGCTACGTCCCCCTGCCCCCCCGAGGTTGAACGCAACTCTGATGCAGCCATCAATGAAATTGAGTTTGACATTCCTGCAATAAGAGCTCAGATCTGTGATTTTAAAAATTTCTGCCAGCACTGCTCCAAGTGTCTCTTTTGGTCCTTTATCTTCTGATTATTCCCTAATAACCATTTTGCCTATATATACAAACTTGCACAAAGCAAGTTTGCTCTGAATGTCTCTTTTATTGAAATTCAATAAGATATACCTTCCTTTAAGCTGCTAGATCACAAAATATTTGAAGTATGGCACATTAACATATATTGGCACATGCTGTTAAGCTGGTACAATGTACAGTGCAAACATCACATGGGTACATTAAGATACGCAACAGTGTTTTATAAGTGGTAATAGACACTAGATCACTAAAATTTCCCAAGCACCATACAAAGTAATTGGATCCATAAAAATGTTTGGAGTTTAGTATTCCTATCAGCTTATCCTCCCTATAGCAATTCACAGGTCCAGTCTTTGGCTATTTCAAAGAAACTACAAAAAATATTGAAGATGACTTTTCTGTTATTGTCCATTGACTAATCTGGCTCCACAAGAAAAAATCTTGTTCTACTTTGAAGACAAATACAATACTGCATAAGCTAATTATCTCTGAGTAGGACCTACAAATTTAATTATTAGTTAGAATTGCCTTACATTATCTTGATTTTGGAGCTGGCATTTTCTATGAAACTGATGAATTGTCTTTTTGAATTAAAGTTGAGTTCCATTTTTTAAAAGATGGATTCTGTGCAACCCTCTGCAAGGACTTATATTGGTTCCTCAGAACTAATGGGGGGAGAACTTATCTGTGAGAGATTCTTTTAAAAAAAAGAAGCATTTAGCCATCTGCTACGTCATTTCTACTCTTCCCCTTACACTACAGATTACCATTCTTTTAAACCTACCATGCAGGACATGATTTGATTGCCTTTCCCTTGCCATGTGCATATATACCAAACCTACCTCCTGGCCTTCCACAATCTTGAAACATACATTTTAAACTCTGCAAGAGCAATCCTTTCCTCTTCACTTTCCACATTGCTCAAAGTGTATGTGTGTATACATGTGTGTGCGCTCAAGAGATCTGCTTAATAATCAAAGTTTATCAGAACTAAATGCCATTAATCTATGAGGGAATGAATACATTTAGAATTGCACCAAATTGTCTGGCGTGAGACTTCAGTGGAATTAACGTTGGAATCATTTTTGAAAAAAAAGCTAATCAGGAGGAAGATGGGTGCTTAAGTGGCTTCAGCTAGCCATTCATTATGGGAAAAATATAATTTAATTTCACTATGTTAATCCACTACTTCTATCCATATTGCATATTACAATTATGTACATCAGCATTCCTAAGTGAAGGATTTATTCTAAGTGACATCCCAAATGACTTTTTTCAGTTTCACAATATTAAACTGATGTATCCACCCTAGATATAGACCATTTGATATATGTACATAATTTTTATTTTGCTTTGGACTAGGCCTAATAAATATTCATGTACACTAATGTAATTTCCCCCCCAGATATGGTTTATTTGCTATGAGCTGATATAATTGCAGACAGTTACACAAATAGGTAAAAAATAGAAAAAGTGAAATAAGTTAAAACTTCTATAATTATTGTGAAATTAAATAAGCACAATAGACACATTCCATAATTAAATTAAAACATGTACAATTTTTGTTTATTGCCCCTACTTGATCACTAGTGCTTTGCCTATTTAATAAGTTTTTCTCTTCTTTTTTTTAATCAACAGGTCTTCTAGCCATAAGTTTGAAAACCATTGTTCTGGAAGGTTGGTGCTGATTGTCATGGTCCCTTCCATTTCCACAATTCTATCATTTTTCATAAAGAAACTTATTTCTGGAGCTTCTCCTCTGCAAATGTTATTTTACCTCGATTTTTATCTTGGCTGCAAGCCTGGTATTGCTAATCAGATTTGTTTTGCCAAAAGTTCCGTTATACCTTAGGGCATCTTAAGGCAACCTCATCATTATAGTGAAATTCTGTTGCCCAATATAAACACTCATCTATTTCATCAGAAAAGTAGTGGGTTCCCCCACACACACACACCTTCCTTCTCCATATGCTTTTCTCATAATTTTGCCTGGTCATCATAATAGAAAGAACAACTAAAAATTAATAATACTGGAGAGAGAAAAGAAAGAGAAAATTAAAACAGGGGAAGAAGTTACGTTTTAAAAAATATTCTTATCTCAGCAATCTCTTTTCCAGATGTAGATACTATGCTCTACCATCTGATCATAGCCAAAGTACAGAAATATTTTATAATCATTAAATAAATACTTGCATTTGTATTAAAGGGTAAAGTTTTCTACTCACAGAAAGGGGAGCTTGTAATATTTCACACTATAATTCAAACTTTTCTGTATTTACTCTAAATCTATTGTTCCAGAGGCTGGTATAATTTTCACTTTAATGAGATATCTCACTGGCTAGGTCTCTTAAGGTAATATGCCAGCACTGGATGAAGCTTGAATACTGAAATGGCATTGGTTGTTGCAGAAATATTTGGAATACTCCCAAAGCATTGGACCAATTGGGAAACTTACAAGGGTTCTTCCACTTTGGCCATTTCTATGTATTCTGATTTTTCCCAAGCATCTCAGAAACAAAACAAAAGCCAATCACTTACAAAATGAGAATAAGAAAAGTAAAAAATGCAAATTTCAAGCAGAAAGTGACTTTCCAGAAGTTGCTCTGTAAGGGAGATGGGTGGTCTCTAAATTTGATATATAAATAAACAAATACATAAAATAAACACTTCATCATAGGACTTACTCTGTAAGAACTGTACCAAAATTTGGCCAATGACCTTATTAAATTATTTTGTCATTTTCTAATTGTAGCAACATTGTAAGAGATCATATATGATTTGGGTTTTGACATTTTTTTTCATGGAATGTTCCAGAACTTGTGATTCCACATTCAAGGTCATTCTGCAACCCTAAAAGTGACTGCCAAACTCAGTTCCTTTTATCTTTTCTCAGATGATGATATTTAAGTTTATTGGCCACCCATTTCCAGTGGCTTCTTATGGATGTGAGACCTTTTACACTTTGAGTAGTACAAATGATGGGAATGGAAGTCGCAATGTCTTTTGTCGAGTTTACTTCCAAATAAATGAAAATTCAATTGATGCATCCCACTTTGTCTGAGGTGAATGGACATTCTAGTTAGATACATTATGTTCATAGACAAAACATATTTTTAGGCTTGGAGGGCAGGGACTCATTTAAATGTCACATTTTGCTGATAGTTTAATAATTGCACAATATAAAGTTGTGCTTACATTTTGCAGAAAATTAGAATTTGCATTATACTTTGGTCATGTCTGCCATTTTGCTTATTGAGAGAGAAAAAATGAAGACAGTTATCAATGAAAGATATGTCTTGCTGAGTGTCTGCTGGTGATTCAGCTATTGAATTAGCAACCATTATAATAGAGTTGCTATAATATTTTCCTCATCAGCAATTTTATAACTAATGTTTGAAAGGGCAATTGCTTCACAGCTGTGGATTGATATTAGTCTAACACCTACCTTTCCTAATAAAGTTTAAATAATGCAACCACTGCACAAGTTTCTATTGTGAACACTTAATAGTTAATTAATTTGTAACTGTACTTTTTTCCCTCCCCTTCTGTCATTTTCCATCCTTTCTGTCATTTTTAAAGAACATCTTAAAATGTTCCTTCAAGTTAATAGAATTTCAAGAATATATAACCAAAATTTTATTTTGAAATTTAAATATTTGAAACTTCATTATCTGAACTGTTTTCACTTAAAGTAGCAAAAAAAAGTTTTGATTACAGGTACAGCAATTCAGTGTGAGCTCCCACACTAGTGAGCTTAATACTGATGTGTTTACATGAATATTTAATGTTATTAAATAACTCAGTATCCTAGATTAAATAAATATGACACGTCAAATTAATTATAATTTAACCTCTAATCAGGTAAGATGCTTAATTAAATCATTACTTATAATTTGGCGTAATTCCAACAAGGATCCAATGTTACACTGTAGGTATTTACCCAACACACTTAGCTGTGTAACATTATACAAATCTTTTCAACTCAGTAGTTATTAATTATACTGCATGGTAGTATTAACCCATACCAGTGAAAGTGGATTTGTCACTCTCTCTTGGTGTTCACTGCGGATTCCATTATCTATGGACTTTCTTCCTACCAGCTAGGTGTATTTAAAAAAGCTTTAGGGTCACCAAGTTAATTCCTTTCTAAAACAGTCTGTGTTGTAAATTTAACTTTTACAGCATTCTAATTCTCAAGACCAATTAGCATTTTATGACTCCATTTGGAAAGGCTCCAAACTTAGTATCACTATACTTCATAATTAGTCTG